AGCACCTATCTCCCTCTCTTCACCTAAAATAACAGAAGCCGCTCGGATGACTGATCTCTTAGAAGAGGGCTTCGCAAATGAGAATTCAGTTTCAGTCACCTTGCCATCCACAGCTGAAAGGGATCTTAATGAATTAGACAGTAAGCACTTGTGAAACCTGAGGGCCTAGTACCTGTTTTTGACCCAGAATAATAAGGCTGTTTGAAAGAAAATCCCAGAACATTGCAAAGGAAACAAAAGCTTTCATTCTACCAAGGTTTTTTTTTTTTTTAAACTTTAAAACTCAAATTAGTAAATCATGTCAATAATTTTTTTTTCTTCAGGGCCAGGCTTGGAACCAGGAAGATTCATCTTTGTGAATTCAAATCTGGCCTCAGACACTGGCTGGGTGACCCTGGGCAAGTCACAACTCTGTTTGCCTCAGTTTCCTCATCTGTAAAATGAGCTGCAGAAGTAAATGGCAAATCACTCCAGGATCTCTGCCAAGGAAACCCCTAGCAGGGAAACAGAGAGCCAGACATGACTGGCCTACAGTTTTTTTTTTAACCATATAATATGCTGTTTAGGTGCTTTATAATACAATCACATCATTCATCTTTCACAATACTCATGTCTCTTATCTCAGTATAGCCTTAAAAAAGATTCCTCTAAAATTATTCCATAGGTAAGAAACACAAACTGCATGAAATCTTAGATTTCACAATTTCATCAACAGTAATACCACTATTATTAATGGAGAGAATGAATGACAACAGCACACTTCATTATCAGAAACTTCATTTATCAGAGGCAGAAATAAAGCAGCGAGCCAGAAGGCTCCTCTGGGAGGCTGAGGAGGGTGGTGAGGCAGTGGGTCAGAGTACCAAGACACTGTTGAGAACTGGTTAAAATAATGCCAAGTGGTCTGGCATTAAAGATGCACCTGGGAAGTGGAGGGAAGGGGAGAGGAGAAGTAGGAAGGCTCTAAGCCAGAAAGGGAGGAGCCAGCCTGGGAGACGGTGCCTCCAGGACACCAGAGCCACCCATGGTCTGTAAGCACCCACCACTTCCCGGACAGGAAGAAGGACACAAAAATGCAAGCCCATTCCCAACGCAATGCCAATGTCGGCTCTTAGAGGAAGTACATGAAGGCAGGACACTCCCACTCTCTGCAGTAGTCATGAGCCTGGTGAACAGGCATCCAAGCAAGGGCAACCAGGTGAGGCCGGTTTCTGCTGAGCAGAGAGGCCGAAGGTGCCTTCTGACCGAAGTAAATATATATGCTCAGCAATCCTGACTGATTAACAATGTTTCACACTTCTTGGTGGAAAGACAATGGGCTGAAGATAAAGAATGAGGTCTGGAGACAAATGATTATTCCATATCAAAGACAGGCTGTAACTGAAGAAAACAAGACAAATCTTTGTAAGCATGGCCATGACAATTCCGTCCCAAGGCAGCCAGATTTCACGTACAATTCAATACACATTTGTTTTGCTTGCTTACTCTTATGGCTTAAGAGAGAGGTTTTTTTTTGGGGGGGGTGGCAAGTAGTAAAAGTGATAGAAATAAAAAAATACCATGAAAAAAAGACCAATGAAACATTTTTAAAAGCACAGAAAAGAGCAGAGGAAGTCCAGAAAGTGACAGACAAGAAGGCCAGAGCAGGAACTACCCTGGTAAATGTGATATGTACTTCAACAAACCCCAATAACTGTGGAAAAGTCATGGTTTGAGCAGCACCCTCTTTTTCTGTCCTTCGCATATGGAAATGTTCATGTTTGTTGATGACTATCACGTTTATAACTAAAGATGTTCATTAAAATTCACTTTTATCATATCCTGTCCTATTCTGGGGGGAGGGGGAGAGGGACAAGGACTGGAGGGCATCAGAGAGCTGCAGAGGCTAATCTAGGGTTCTTTCTGGCTTTTCCCTGTAAAATGGTCTCAGTGATCTGTCTGTTCCTATCACAGAGATAGCACACCTGAAGAAGAGCGCCAAAGCTTGGTCCCTGGGCACTGCCTGGCCAGGAAGGTGTGGCAAAGCTGGTGCTCTTGGTCCTCCGAACTGCCTGTGGTGGTAAAGGCACACCTGCGGCCTCCCCACCGCACATCCCATGACCCAGGGGAACCGTCTCCTGGCTCTTATGCCATCTCTATTCCGGGCATTTTCATTGGCTGGCCCCATGCCATCTCGCTTCTCCTTCAAGTCCCAGCTAAAATCCCACTTTGTACTGGATGGCTCTCCTGCTTCTCCTTACTGCTGATGCCTTCCTGTCTATAGCTCGTTTGGGCATGGTTGTCTGCATGCTGGCTTCCCCTTAGACTAGAGCTTCTGGAAGGTGAGGGACTGTCTTTTTGCCTTTTTCTGTCTCCCTGGCATTTGGCACAGGGCCTGGCGCACAGCAGGCAGTTAATAAATGCTTGTTGATTTGACTAAGTAGCCAGCCATTCATGTGTTTAGCTTATGGAAAAGTGTCACTGAGCCAAGACTCTGGTCAAATGTGTTATGGAAATTTTTTTTTGGCACTTAATAGAGCATTTTGTTACCCACACATCGTGCCCACACCTATTTCTTAGCCTCCAGCTAAGAGGTGCAGCTCAAGAACCACTTTCCCCACAAAGCTTTTGCGGAGGGCTCGACTTTTACTTGTCTTCTTATCCAGAACTCCCAGAACAGTGCTTGGCATACAGAAAGAGATTAATAAATGCCTCCTACTGAGTCAGGCACAAAAAGAGGCAAAAACAAGCCTGCCCTCAAGGAGCTACAATCTAAACAAATCTATACAAAGCTAGAGATGGGCTGGACAGGAGCTAATGAACAGAGAGAAGGCCCTGGAATGAAGAGGGACTAGGGAAGGCTTCCTGTAGGAGGTGGGATTTTTGTTCAAGGAAGCCAGGAGGTCAGAAGGCAGAGAGAAAGAGGGAGAGTGTTCCAGGCCTGAGGGACAGCCAGAGAAAAGTGACTTGTTCATGGGAAAGCCAGGAGGCCGGTGTCACTGGACCAGAGTACGGGTAGGGAATGAAGTGGAGAAGTCTGTGTGAGAGATTAAGTCAGAAAGTAAGGAACATTCTTTTAGTAAGAAGCCTGCAAAGTGCTCTGAATGCCAAACAGAGGATTTTGTGTTTGTTTGTGGAGGCCATAGAGGGTTGCTGGAGGTTACTGAGGAAGGGGATGACATGATCAGAGCTGTCCTTTGGACAGATCACTTTGGTGGCTGAGTGGAGGGTTACCAGAGTGGGCAGGGCATCTATTGAAGCCACACTGACTCAACAGCCCAGCATCCAATGAAGGCCCAGTGGAGCCTGGGGGCCTCTGTCTTGTTAATGAGGAATACTGAACACCCTTTTGCTATGTAAAGTTAACACCATCATGACAGCTTTTCCCATTCATTAATATGGGAATTATAGTGTCAGGGTTAAGAGTTAACCTACTGGGTTAAATCACCAGGAGTGGGGAACCTGTGCCTTCAAGGCCACATGTGGCCTTCTAGGTTCTCAAGGGCGCCTTTTGAATCCAAACTTCACAGAACAAATCTAAATAAAAGGATTTGTTTCATGAAACTTGGGACTCAGTCCAAAAGCCACACCCAAGGACACAGAGAGCCACACGTGGCCTCAAGGCCATAGGCTCCCCATGCCTGATTTAACCTATTTACCTCACAAACGACCTGGGACTTGTCCGGGGCATCCTGAAGGGCTTGGGGGGAGCTCAAGTGGATCTTACTAAAAAAGAGTCTGTGAGTAAGGCTTGGGACACGGGGTGCAGATGTTACTGTGTCCAGGTCCAGAGATGTTAAGCCAATGGTCCATGGTCACACAGCATGTGTCTGGGCAGAGAAGCTATGGCATGAATGAAGTTTCCTTCCCCCCAAACCGTAGGGCTTGACAACATAAGAACTTCCAGGAAGGAGTCACACTATACCAAATTCCAGCACTTTAGTGTCTTGGAGTAAGAAAGTGGGGCTCTGGTTTGACACTCACTGCTCTAGGGATGGTGGGGAAGGGGAAGAGCTTTTGTTAAGCTGTGTACAGATATGGGGGGTCCTCCCATTGCCAGACCACAACACTAGAACAGAACAGTACCATCTTTCAGGATGCTTCTGTGCCTCACAAGGAGATGAAGAGGAGCCTTCCTGAAGAAACAATGTTGCTGATGCACAAGATACAAAGTCCCTACAGGCCCAGGAACAGGTCTGGCCAGACTGGCCAGGATGTTCCAGTGTTAAGCTTGGTCTTTGTGTTTGACAAGAGAACTGATGAGGGGTGAAGGACTTGTTGATTTCCAGGGTATGCCTACAGAGCTTAGGGTCAGAGAGTGAGGAATGAGGGTGAGGAAACTCCCTGTCCTAGTGCTGGGGGACACTGTCCCTTCCTGTTACATGGAGAGATTAAGGGTGGGTGTTCTTAGAGCCAGTCTGTGTGCTGAGCAGCCTGGGAACTCTGTACTCTCTAGCTCCAACGCCAGTTCCTGAGGTGTAATTCTGCACTGGGGAGAGAGCGGGAGAGGGAAAACGAGAGAGAGAGACACACACACACAGAGACAGAGAAAGAAGGAGGAAGGAGGGAATGGGAGGAATTTAGGGAATGGAAGGAGGAGACAGAGAAAGATACAGAGAGAGACAGACATAGGGAGAGAAAGACAGAGACTGAGAAGTATAGAGACAGAGGCAGAGAAGAAGGAGAAGGAAAAGAAGAAGGAGAAGTAGAAGAAAAAAAGGAGGAAGAGGAGGAGGAGGAGAAGAAGAAGAAAGAGGAGAAGAAAAAGAAGACAGAGAAAGATAACAGAAAGATACACAGACAGACAGAGCTCCCCCATTCACTCCTCACCTTCTCCCACATGGCCCTGAAGGAAGGCCCCCAGACAAGCGAGCCCCCCAGTTCGGAACATTGCCGCTGAGACCACAGAAAGGGAGCGGGTTCCGCTCACTCCTCCTCATCCTCCCCGCCACCCCCGGGGGTGGGGCTGCCTCTCCCTCTCCCCCTCGCCGCACCAACCCCCCCCCCGCGCGGTCACTCACCGGTGACCCGGATCCCCTCCAGCATCTTGGGCCGGGGTCTCCTGCGGGTCTTGGCGTGGCGGCGCGCGTGACGCGGGCCGGTAGTGGCCGCAGCGGCGGCGGCGGCGGCAGCCGAGGAGGCGCAGCGGGCGGAGGCGGCGGCCACGGCCCGGGCTCGCCGGTGGATGGCGGCGGAGGCGGCGGCGGCTGCCGAGCGCGGGCAGCGCCGGCCTCTCGTGGCCGCCCGCAGCCTGGGACCTCGGCCGGGCCTCAGCGCTCCGGCGGCGGGCGCGGCGGGGGAACGGGAGGCGCCGAGGGCGCGGCGGGAAGGCGGCGGCCGAGCTGGCGGGGCTCGGGCTCCGGAGGCGGCGGCGGCCCGGGCCGAGGCGCAGGAAGCCGAGAGCGAGGAGCGCGGGGGGCGGCGGCGGGAGCGGGGCGCGGATGCGGGGGGCGGCGGTCAGCGCCGCCGTGTGCATGGGTGCGCCCGCAGCCCGGATCTCAGGGCGCCGCGGGCGGCCGGGGCGGGGTGGTGGCAGTGACGATGGCGGGGGCGCGGCGGGGCGACCTCGGGGGGCGCAGGTGAAGGGCAGCCCTCGATCTAGTCCCTGCGGCCAGCTCCCAGCTAGCGGCAGTGACGTGCGCCGCTCTCGCGGTTGCTAGGGTACCGGTCCCGGAGCCCCGCCCCCCGGCCCGACCAGCCTCGCCTCTCCCGGCCCCCAAGGCAGGCAGGTGGGCAGGCAGGTTGGAAGAGAACAAGGAACCACGAGTCCCGGCAGGCACAGCGCACCCACGTGGATGCCGGGGGAAAGCATCAGCCTCTCAGATGCTCCGGTCAGCCCGAGCGTGGGTTTGACTTTACCCGGTTCTCGAGTACCTCCCTCCCCCTTTCCCACATTTCCAGATTCTTGACTGTCCTGTCTCTGGCCTGCTCTTTTCGACTCCGGTTCATCCCCCGGTTAGAGGCTGGTCCGGCCCGGTTGACCATACATACATACATACACACATACGTGTACATGTATATGTGTGTATATGTATGTATGAATCAGCCCCACTCTTTCTCTGAAACACTAGTTCGTTGAACCCAAACCCTAACCCTAAATGCGCGCCTTGAAGACATTTTAAACTGGATGTCCCCATGGCAGCTCAAACTCAACATTTCCAAAAGAGAATTTATTATCTTTTTCTCCCAAACACAAGCCCTTTAAAATTTCCCTATTTGTTTGGAGGGCAGCATCTTCCTTCTAGTCAGTTATCCTCACCTTCATTTTCACTCACCCACATATTTGCTCAATTGCTAAATCTTGTTATTTCTGCCCCTAGAATATCTCTGGTATCTACCTGCAGCTCTCCACTCTTACATGTCTGTAAGCATCATGGCCGCTGGCCAGGATGATTGCAACAGCCTCCAAAGTATCCCTGCCCCAGAGTTCCTTCTTCCATGAATTTAAATCATCATAGGATTACAAAGAAAACTGATAAGGGAGAAGGGAACAGGAATTTGTTATCATAGGTAGGCCAAGGCAATAGAATAAAAATGACCATACTACCTAAATTAATTTACTTGGTCAGTGCCATACCAATCAAACTTCTAAATAATTCTTTTATAGAGTTAGAGGAAAAAAAATTCATCTGGAGGAAGTAGGGGTCAAGAATATCAAAGGAATCAATGAAAAAAAAAAGAAAGGTGGCTGAACAGTGCCAGACCTCAAACTATGTTACAAGGAGGCAATCCAAAAAAAAATCTGGTACCAGATAAGAAGTAGAGTGGTGGATCAGTGGAACAGATTAGGTAGACAATATATGGTTATAAATAACCCTAGTAATCTAGTGTTTGATAAACCCAAAGATCTTAGCTTTTGGTGTAAGAACTCACTATCTGACAAAGACTGCTGGGAAAACTAGAAAGCAATTTGGCAGAAAGTAGGCATAGACCAACATCTCACACAGTACACCAAGGTAAGACAGAAAGGGTGATATCATAAGCCAATTAGGAGAGCAAGGGGAAAAAATTACCTGTCAGATGTATGGATAAGAGAAGAGGTCATAACCAAACAAGAGACCTCCTGTGACCCTACAGGAGGTAAAATGGATAATTTTAATTACATGAAATTAAAAAGTTCTTGCACAAATAAAAGCAATGTAGCCAAAATTAGAAGGAAAGTAGGAAACATTTTACAAGTTTGTCTGAGAAAGGCCTTGTTTTTCAAATATACAGTGAACTGAGCCAAATATATAAAAATATGGGGCATTCTCCAATTGATAAATAGTCAAAGGATATGAACAGGCAGTTTTCAGAAGAAGAAACCAATACACATATGAAAAAAA